TCTTCAGCTCAGGTCATGATCCCATGGTGCTGGGATCGAGTCTCATTTCAGGCTCCTTGCTCCATGGGGAGCCTGCTTCTCCCTCTGCCTGCTGCTCCCCCTGCCTGTGCTCTCTCTCTCTGACAAATAAATAAATAAAATCTTTAAAAAAATGGTACTTTATAGGCTTTGCATGACCCCACTCCCATTCTTTTACCATCTTTTCATCCATTCATTCCTTCACCAATAGTCATTACTGAGCATCTGCTAAGTGCCAGGCAAACATGAGGAAAGCAGTGCTTTCTTCCCTCCAGGAGCGTGTGATTTGCGGAGCAATCTCACCCATCCCTGTGCTTCCCAGAAGTCCTGTGTGACCGAGTCCTGAACCAAACTCTCCTCCCGTGCAGCAGGTGGGCAGGGCAGAGGGGAACAGGGAGGCAATCTCTGAGCCAAGGAAAAGCAAGTTTGCTAGTGTAGGGCCTGAAACCTGCTTGTTTTGGTGAGCTCTGTCTTTTTGTTCCTGGGTTTGGTTCCATTTTGTTTCTCCTTAGGTATTTGGCTTCAGTCCTCTTAAAATTTATAGTCTGTCTTGATTGAGCCAAAGAGAACAAGGGAGTGGAATTGAATGTTCAGACTGTTAGGGTCAGAGAGAAAGTCAGGCAGTAATCCCTGGGACCAGGTGCACAGCACCAAACCAGAGAGCAAAACTCAGAAGGGGTGCCCCTGGAGGTCCCCTACACAGCACTTTCCTGCTCTATTCTGGGAAGCTTTTGTTTCCCTTTAAGAATGGAAACCGTCCTGTACAAGGAACCTACAGCTCCCCCTAGAAGCATAGTACAAAGCTAGGGTGGGAGATGGCGCTGATGGCTGCACTTTCCTTCTCTCCCATCCGGAGGCACCCACTTGGAAATTGACCAGAAAGTCTCCCACAGGGAGTGGAAGTTCTGGTGCAGGAGGGGAGGAGGGGAATAGCCCATGAGTGGCCCTGAGATGTGCCCTTCCTGAGGTGCCACCATGGTGGCACCACACTGGGGCCGAGGGTAGAGTGTCAGCCCTGACAAGGAGGCGACCCTCTGAGTGAGCTTCTCCAGGACCAGAGAGGGCTGCTTCCTGGGGCTGCAGGATGCCGTAAGCCAGAGAACAGGGAGCGGGGCTGGGGCAGAGAGTGGGTGGGGAGTGGGGGGTGAGAGAGAGAGGGGCATAGGCTCTGGCCACCCTGGGCCCCCTCTTCCTGCGCCTTCTCACCGCCAACTTTCTCCCACTGGACCTAGCTACAGGGCCCACTTTGTAGGACCATTTGTGAGCGCCTCAGACTCTGCCCCACTGCCCAGCACCCCTTGGAATGTACTGGCCAGGTGGGGATGGGATGGCCCTGATGCTCAAAGCAGGGACGGAGAGGCCCTGGGAACGCCCAAGTTGGGGACAAAGAGTCCTTCAGGTACAAAGGGAACTCCCTAAATGCAGCTCTCCCCAGGGTTGTTGGAATTTGTCTGGAACAGGGCCAGGGCTCTTCCCACCCAGCCTCGGTCCTGAGCCATCCTCTGGAGCCTCCGGCCGCCTCTGCTGCTATCACGGCGTGGGCCTCAGGGGGCGCTGCTTCCCCTCGGATGCGCCGGCGGGGCCCGGCTCCCAGCCCACTGAAGTTCCTGAGAAGTCCCCAGGGTCACCAGAGGGAGGAGGACACCAATTTATCACGCTTCCTCCTGGCCCCAGACAGGCTGTTCCCCCAGTCCGCAGTCTCGCGCCTGGACCCGGAGGTGCAGCCCCGCCCCGGCCGGCCGGCCTCAGGTGAGCCCCGCAGCGAGGCGGGGCGGGGCCTGCCCTTCTGCCCCGATGTCCCCACGCCCCCTCCCCGTAGCCACACCCCCCGCTTCTGGCTTTTCCGTCTGCTCCCTGTCTCACGTCTCCCTCGAACACTCCGACGACTGCCCTCTCCGCGTGACCGGCCTGTCCCCTCCTCCCCCCTGTCCACCCCATCTTTCTCTGGTCCCTGTCTGCCCCACAGGCGGCCCTCCCCGCTCCCATCCCCTGGTTAACCAGCTGTGTAAGGAGCTGCCAGGACTGGGCTGATGGATGGGTCCGTCCCCTGCTTTGCTCTCAGCTCCGGCCTTCCCTGCCTTCCCCTCCCCGCCAGCCCTTTTTCCTCACCTCACCCTCCACCACATATTTTATCATCTGGGAAGGGCACCGAGAGGAAAGGACCTTCTGGATAAGCAAGTGGTGGTGGGTTGGGGCGATAATGGGGGGGAAGCGGCCGCTCCAGCAGATAAGGATTTCCTGAACTCCCGGGAGAGCGCTCTGTGAATGAGGGCGAATGCTCCTGAACCTTCCATCCTCCCCAGTCCCTGACTGAGCAAAGCCTGAAGGCGCGAGATGGGTGGAAAGAGGGGGTGGTGTGTACACGGGCTGGGGGTTTTGAGCAGCCAGAATGGAGTCTGCATCTCAACCCTGACGGTGATTAGCTGCATGACCTTGGGCATGCCTCAGTTTCTCCATCTGTAAAGCGCAGGTAAAACCGTCTAGGGCGCCTTGCACCAGTGTAAGCTCAGTAAATGTGGACCCCTGTCCCTATTGGGTGCTGGGTCACCCTGTTCCCCTGAAAGCTCTCCCCTGCGTCCTGGATTCTGCCCAAGAGAACCTATTCCCGCATGCCCTCTATGTACCAGGCACATTCACACCCACAGTGCTATGTAATCCTTCTTTTTATAATTAGGAAAACAGAAAGGTTAAAGTGACCGGTGTATTAATAGAAGGCCACGGCAGAACCAAGAAGCCTGAGTCCAGAGCCCCAGGTCCTGCCATGCCAGTGACGACGTTGCTGAAAAAGCAGAGCAAAGGTTTACTGAGAAATTCAACTGGGCAGGAGCTTCCAAGAGGCCTGAGTGGGAGTAAGAACTGTGGCTCTGCTCCTGCCCCTGTCCTTTGCTGGGTCACCTTGGGGAAGTCCTTTTCCTTCTCTGAACTTTAGCTTCCGCTTCCTCATCTTGCCAGGGTGTGGGGCAGAGATGGACGGCATCCTCTGTGAAGTCTCATTCCGCCCTGAACCCCGTTTTCCTCTCCCCTGCAAAGGGACCCAGCGCTGCCATAAAGAGCGGGGGCTGCAGCTTCAGGCTGGTCATAGGGTGAGAAATCTCATCCTCATTTTCCCCACCCTCCCCTTCCTCCCTCTTCCCAACCCCCAACTGGTCTTTGCTTGGGGCCGATAATCAATGAGTCGTAAAATGAGAAAGTATCAGGAACTAGCAAAGCATGGAGAGCAGCTGGGGCAGCCTCAGCGGCACCGACACCGACTCTGATGGACTGCCAGCCCTTCACCTCAGCCCAGCCTCCCACGCCTGACTCAGGCTGGCTGGCCGGCCAGCCAGCCAGCCAGCCGAGACTCACCCAGCCTTGGGGGGAGGGGGAGACCAGAGTGGGGGAGACCAGCTGGAGACCAGAGTAGGGAGGCTTATTTTCAGCTTCACCTTACACAGAGCCATGAAATCTATGTGTAATTGACCTGGGAAGCTGCATCCAGGATGCATGCTTGAATCCTAAAAGCAGGTTACATGAGCTCAACCTATAAAGCGATCCCATTTATGTTATACAGAACTGTTTGTACATATATAAAAACATGGGCAGAGAGACTCCAAACTATGAATAGCAGTTACTTCTGGGACAGTAGAATAGGCAAAACACTCACTTTCTACTTTATATACTTTTCCTTTGTTGGACTCTTAAAGCAAGCATATATTGCTTTTATAATAATTTTTAAAAGATCATCTTATGATAAAGATTCTTCCCTCGTGCAAAGGAAAGCCTTGTAGTAGTGTGCACGGACTAGTGAATATGCTCATGTCTTTGCTTCCGTCTGGAATTATATCCGTCTAGGATGGTAAGGCCCGTGAACTCGGCTGATCCAAAGCACTAGCTCTAAAATCAAAAAGAGTCTGATTTCTTGAAAGAGAAAATCTACAATTCCTTAAGTTTAAGGGATTCCTGAATAATAACAATAATCCCTTAAATCTGGTTTATAAAGACTAAATCTGTCAAAATAGATGATTCTTAAAGGCAAAGGGGGAATAATGTGGCAAAAGAGGTCCTTGGTGTCCACAGCCCAAAACTGGCCTTGGGGTTGCTGCTGTCAGCCAGGGTGGGAGGACCCTCCCCCTGACACCTGACACAGCCTGGAAACCAGGCCCACGTCAGCATGTGGTACAAGCACTCTCCCGCAACGGGACTAAGCCTGAGGCCACGACAGCCTGCAGGAGTCTTTAGGAATGACTCTCCAGGATCCGTTGGCTCCTTGTCTTCCAGCTTCCTCCTGCAGCCAAGCCCAGAGCACGTGGGGGCTCTCCCTGAGCCAGAGACCCAGGGTGTGGAGTAGGGGAAGGTAATAAAGGGACTCGTGGGGTTTGGCCCACATGGGCATGGATATTTGAGGGGAGGGGAGGGGCTGGGTAGGAGGTAGGAGGGCTGTGGAAGTTCACTCTGGCTGCATGACCCTCCTTTCCCCTCCTGACAAGTCAGTACAGGGACTGAAAGCTGCCGGGAACACAAGTTTATTGGTGGAGCTGCGGAGGAGTCCTCCCTCTCTAGCCGAGGGCACAGCACCAACAGAGGGATGGACAGATAGACTCCCCTCAAAAGGACACATGGATGGTGCAGACTCAGAGAGACTATAGCACAGCCACATAGGCACAGAGACACACAGGCCACAGCACCAAGAAACACACACACACACACTGAGACAAAACCACAGGGCTAGAACACACAAAGTGCGGGCTTTGGGGCTCCTGCATAGACAGAGCGAGGGCCACGTGGGGAGGGGGCCCCTGCTGACCTCCCCCAGGCATAGGCACACCAACAGCACACAGACAGGCAGATGCCCCCAGCCAGACAGCCAACCTGCCACACAGACAAATGAACTGCATGGAAAGGACGCTTGTGCTCCCCAAACCATAGGGAGGGGGGGACCAAGGGACTTCTACAAACCCCCACGGATTGATTCCCATTCCGCCCGCCCCCTTCCCGCCCCCCCCCCACACTTTGGTCTTGCCCACCGGGGCTGGGGGCTAGGGAGTGGGCAGGTGGAAGGAGGAAGAGAGGAAGGGGTGCGCCCGGCTCTGTCCCTTCTGCTGAGAGAAGGGAGGCAGGTACTGAGAGTCCGGGCCTGAGCCAGGGCCTGGCAGTGGGGCGAGGGCGGGGCCTCGGCTCAGGCTTGGGGGGGCTCCCGGCAGCGCAGGCACTGGGCCATCTCGGGCTGGTACCGCTCAACCTGCAGGGTACAGCTGGAGAACCCGAACCGGGAGTGGAGCTGCGACGCGGCCTCAGCCAGGACAGCTTCAGGGTCGGCCGTGGAGTCTGTGGGAGAGTGATAAGAGGCAGCAGGTGCCCAGGGGAGTCGGGAGCCGGGCAGGGGCCAAGATAAGGAAGGGCGCAGGGGGACCCCAGGGCTTGCACACCATTAAAACCAGGCTTGCGCAAGGAGATTTCTTTTCTTTCTGTATTGTATGAACAGCATAAAAATGCCAAAGAAAAGGCTGGAGAGACTCACTCAACCAGGCCACCCCGCTAACACGCCAGACTATTCTTATTTTTCTATTCTCTTCTGCTCTTTGACTGTCCATAGACAGCTGTACGTGTCTGCAGCCACAGCACCCAAGTCTCCAAGACAATCTAGATGTTAACTATTTTCTCCCATTGTCCCTCTAGAGTTACCCTCCACTATCCCACAAAGTATAATATTTTTGGCATCCAAATTGCATGTCTCTGATTGCTTCTTGCATCTGGAAGAAACTCAAAAATCCCTTGTCAGCTTGTGAGTCACCATATATATTTTTAATAGTTGAATCATAATGTAGATATAATTTTACATTCAGCTTTTTTCTCTTAGCATTATACCATCAACATTTTCCCTAGTTGCCACACAGAGCTCATCATCATCAGTCTGAACAGTTCCGTGATACCCCACGGTCACCCCTTACCTAACTGTGCCCCGTGGCTAGACCACCTGGTACTAGTGATCTTTTAAAGGGTTGTTGGCTCTCTGCACTACTTCAGAGAGGGCGAACCCCGACCCCAACACCCTGTCCAGGGTGCTTTGTCTCCAGCATGCACACATGTGTGAGAGAGAGAGCAAGAAAGAGAGCTGGCATGGCAATCCCAGCAGTTCAGACTCTCTTTCTAGGTTTGGAAGAGGGAGCCGGGCTGGGGCAGTCAGGGGCCAGGGGGGACCAGGAGGTGGTATATTTCTAGGAGGGAACTGGTTAGGGCCAGTATGGACTCACCAATGGCCAGGTGTGCAGAGGCAACGTGGTAAGTAAGCGTAAGGGACCACAGGTGCAGCTCATGAGTTGCCCGGACTCCCGGCACGGACAACAGCGTGTCCCGCACAGGCTCAAACCCCACACTTCGGGGGGAACCTGCAAGCAGCGACCGGCCACGCCTTACTGCCAAGGCCACTCCAGCGCAGAGGTGGCCCCTCACCAGACCCTACCTCCCCCACCCTGTATCCGCTCAGCGTCAACCCCCACAATTCACCCTGGGCCTGAATCCTCCTCCCAGCAATAGACCCAGGACCCAGGCCTTCTCCCGACACTCTCTTGAGAGAAGAGACGAGGTCCAGAGCTGGAGTGAGGTCAGAGAGGGCCCCAGGTGGGGAGCGGTGGCATCTGATTTACCTTCCATGAGGACACGGAGGACATCTCGGAGGGTGGGAGCCGTGGATCCAAGGGCACAGATGGAGAAGAGGAAGGTGCTGATGGGGTCAGCTGCCTTGTACTGAGGCTAGAGAGAGAGAGAATTCCAAGCCCAGGAAACAGGAATCCTCCAGGGGAAGACCTAGGGGTGTCTTGGACAAACAGGACCTGAGAGGCCCCCGAGAGCCCTGCTAAGGGGAAAGGTACCATGCCCCGAGAGCCAGGAGTTCTGGGGAGCTGGGAGCTGGCGGGGGTGGGGGAGGGAGACCAAGGGGGCAAGGAGGGGGGCAGGGTGCGGAGCTGGGGGATGAAGGCTGGGGCAGGCCTGCGCGCACAGTACCTTGAAGTAGATGAGGACAGAGGCGGCCAGGACCCCAAGGCTCTGCAGGAGGTCCCCCAGCACATGCACAAAGGCTGCCCGGACGCTCGTGTTCCCCAAGGGCAGGGGCTCCCCCGGCCCTTCCTCCAGCGGTGCATATTCTGCCCCCCTAGACCCATGGCTGTGGGGGGGGCCCGGCCTGGTGCAGCACAAAGGCCATTCTGAGGGGGAAGCAGAGCAGCTCAGCCCAACTGACCTGTTCCCGGCCTCTCTGCCCTCTTGCCGAGTCTCTCCACCTCACCTCCCTGGGAGCCCTTTCTCCACCTGTTTCCTCCCTCCTTTCCCAGCCCCGGGAAGAAGACAGCATTGGCCGAGGGACACAGATCGTGCAGGCTGGGGGGGAAAACACCGTACTTGGTGCTAGAGACATGCCTTCAGATCCTGCCACGGTGACTTACACCTGAGCAAGACCCCTGGCCACCTCCTGGGTCCTGTGTCCTTAACTGTACACTAGGGCCGATACTGTCTACCTCATTGGTGGGGGGGGGGCCTCAAATGAGACACTGTTGATGACAGCCCGCAGCAAAGTGGCCCCAGGAAATGTCTGCTGGCTCTGGATTCCAGGTCTTTCTCCCGTCTGTCCTCAGGCAGCCCTAGGGTAGCTGACAGGGGAGAACTGTGTGTGCCCGTTGCGTGCCTTTCGGGGCGTGGAGAGAGCCAGCTCTCCCCCCACCCCCGGAGGAGCACCCCTCGCCCTGAGGCCCCCGGGGCACCACTCCCTACGGACGTACAGCAGGTTGGCACAGACAGCGATGCTGGCGGTCAGCAGCATGGCGCCCCCCTCAATGTGGTAGTCGCTGTGCAGCAGGCGGATGAAGGCCAGGTACAGGAGGATGCCGGTGACCATCCAGAGGGAGACCACAGAGGCCAAGGCTCCCAGAGTCTCTGCAGAGGGAGACGAGCTATCAGAGACCTGCCCGGGACGCTGGGAGGTACCTTCTGGTGAGAGGAGAGGCTCACGGGGTCATGCGGGGCCTTACCTGAGCGGTGCCAGCCAAAGGTCATGGTGCGGGTGGCTGGCCGGGTAGAGAGCCAGAGGGAGAAGAGGCTGCCTATCATGCTGCCCACATCGGCCAGCAGGTGGGCTGCGTCGGTCATAATGGCCAGGCTGTGAGCCAGATACCCCCCTGCAAGGGTAAAGCAGGGCACAGTCTGGGTCTGGTTAGGAAGCGGCAGGCACTGTGGCAGCGTGTGGAGAAGCAGGGAAGGAGACCAGGGGGACCCGTGCCCCAAAGCGAGTGTGGTGGCGTCCCAAAGCGATGGGATTACAGGAGGGGCGATTATCGGCTTCTTTTCACTCATCCACATTTTCTAGATTTTCTATAAGGACACATTTTACTATCAAGAAAATGGGACTTTTGAAAGACTAGCTAATGCTGAGAAGCCAGCCCTAGCCCTCGGCCCCAGCCCTGGGCTTGAAGGTGCCGTCGTCCGCCCTCTCCCACTTCCTGAGTCCTGGGCACCCACACGCCCACTGACACCACCCCACTCTCCTCATCTCCCCCTGCCCCACCCCTCCATGAACCTTGCTGGGGCTCTGGGTGGAGAGTGGCTTGGGCAGGGGTTAGGCGGGTGGGGTTGGCGGAGCCGCTCCCCGACTTACCGACCACCTCCCCAGCCATGAAGACGCAGCACACGGCACAGGCGGCGCCCAGCTGCTTCTGCGCCTGCAGCCTCTCGGGGGTGAGCCCGGGCTGCGGCAGGGGGTCCCGGTGGCAGTGGTGGAAGGGCATCTCCACAGGTTTGGGTTCCTCGGGGAGGGGCTCCGAGGTCTCTGTGAAGAGACTGCAGCGGGGCAGCACCATTCAGCCTGGGGCTTGGCCGTGGGCTCACCTGTTCCTCACTCCCACGTCCCCAGTCCTGCTAGATGGGCTTCATCAGCTGTGGCCCGACACTTGCTCTGTCCATCCCAAGGCCTGGCCAAACTTGGGAGCCTTGGGGACAGAGGGCCACGTGAGAGATGGGGCTAAACAGCTCAGATTCCTTCTCCTTTCATATACAGAGCCATGAAACTCCACAGCTCGGAAGCACCATAGAGATGGTCTAGTCTGATGCTTTTTACAGAAATTACAAGTATGAGGCTCAGAGAGGACATATGGATGCTGCACAGCTAGTTCATGGTAGAGAGTAGATGCCACCATAATGCGTGGATAGGCACCAGAAAGAATACAAAATGAGCAGGATCTTGCTGACCTCTGGGAGCTTCTGGTGAGCAAGACAAAGGTGTACCTAGGCGCTGTGATATGTAGCAGGAGAGTAGCTATTGCCATAAAACAAAATGCTCTCAGGGCTCGGAGGATAGAGTAGATGAATTGCAGTGAAATCAGGGAAACTGAAGGGGGCACCATGAGAAGGGTCTGGAAGGAAGCGGAGGGTTCGGGTAAAGACGGGGTGAACATGCTAGGCAGAAGATGAAGGGAAGGTGTTGTCAAAGGGTGAGCACGGGATCCTGGCCTTAGTGTCTCCCTCCCAGATCCATCTCCCTGTGCCTCCATTCCAGGTCCTTCCCCTATCCTATCTAGACATGCTGTTGAAACGTGGCCATTTAAGAGAGGAGTGGAATGTTGGGACCCAAAAAGTCAGGGGTCCCAGATCCCAGAGCTGGGGTTGTCACGGGGAGGATGAAGCGCCGACTGCATGGCTGGGGAGGCAGTGGTAGGAGCAGTGGATCTGGAGGCTGCCTCATGTTCGCTGGACCCTGGGCCGATCGTAAGCACCCAGCGGAGGCCACTTTATCTGTATGGTACCGTAAGCCTCCTTCAATACATGAGTGGGGCTGGAGCCTCACCTGGGATGCCAGAGACTGAGCTCAGGCTGAGTTTTAGGCTCATGCTGGCCCCATTCCTACCCCCATGACTACCAACCTGAACCCCGGCAAAGCCGGAACCTCCCATAGAACAAAGAAAGGACCTAAATAGAAAATACAGTCTTAGAAATACTCATGGAAGTGTGACAAGAATACCCATGAGTGAAAAATTGAAGGCTCCAGATAGAAACGTGGTCACAGCAGTAAATTGAGGAAGGAGGCCTGGAGCCTTCTGGCTGAGAAAAGCTCTGCCAAGTGGGTGAATTGAGGTGTGAGGGAGGTGGGGGCACATTTGGTGCCTGCAGGGAAGATTCGAGTGCTGGCAGGTAGATTTAATTCTTGGAATGTTCTTCCAAGACTTAGAATCTCAATGTGTATGATGATGAGATGCTGGGTGTGTTTGCCGAGGATACAGCGAGATGAGGGTGGCTTTGAAACCCATCCTCATTCTTCAATGAGGTATACACATAGTTGGGTGCCTGGGACTCAGGTGGCAGGCAGGGTGCACATAGTGAAACCCAGAAAGATATGTCACAAATGACTTACTAGGCAAGGAGAGGCTGGGGCCGGGAGGATTATGAATGAGGGACTTTGGAGCACCAGGGAGGGAGTGACCACCTGGGATGGGGGTGAGGACAACTTCACAGAGGAAGAGATGTTTAACATGAGACCTAGGTGAAGAAGGGGGCTCTAGACACATGAGATGTCAATGACAAAATAAGTGGCTAGGAATTTTAAGTGTCAGGAGCCAGGGCAAGGGCTGAGGAGGAAAGTGAGGGCTCAAAGGAACACCAAGGGAGATACACTGATTGATTTCACATATCTTTCTCAAGCCCTGAGATGACCTTGCTGATGTATATTAGTCTGGAGAGGGAGAAGAGAGGAGATGGAAGGGTCCAGAATAGACCGGCCACAAATTCCATGCACCAGATTTCAAAGGAGGGGCAGGTAGGTTAGGGAAGAGCCTCTTTCAGAAAATACTGCAGGATTTGGTGACTAATGGTCATATGAGACTGAAAATGAGCCGGGAGTCAGAGATGCAGGTCTGGATAGCAAGCAGAGGCTGCGTAGCTTTGGGGCAATGGGCAAGATGCCTTTTTTCACAAGGAACAGAGTAGCCAGTCATCAAGGTAGCCAGCCATCAACAGGCTGCTCCCTTTTGTCCTGCATGAATTGGGCACTAAAGAAACCTCATTGTTGGGGTGCCTGGCTGGCTCAGTTGGTGGAGCATGGGACTCTTAATCTCAGGGTCATGAGTTCAAGCTCCACATTGGGCTTGGAGTCTACTTTAAAAAAACAAAACAAACATTTTTTAAAAAGCCTCATTGTTGGTGCCGGTGGGTGTGTATGTGGGTGGGGGGCTACATGTTGTTTAGAGAGAAGGAAAGGCAGTTTTCTCTCCCTGGCCTCTGAAACCCCAACAAACAAGTAGTATTGAGCGGGTAGAGATGAAGTGTGGGGAGGGGACCAGGACCTGAAGCAGAGTCAAAAGGATATGTGAAGAGAGCCAGGGCCTGGGCTGGAGCCTCCACAGCAGCCCACGTCTGCAGTCCCCGGCAGGAAGGAGTCAGACGGGAAGTCTGTCCTCCCTTCTGTTCATCCACTCCCCCACCCACCCAGGTTTACGGCCCCCATCCAGGGAAAGAGCGAGAGAGGCACCACATCATCAGAGACAAAGGGAAAGGTGCTCGGAGGGAAACAAAACGATTGGGAGAAATGAAGAAAGAGAAAAAGCCAGGGAGCCTGTCAAATTTCCGAGACAAACGGACGGTCAGCCAACAGACAAAATGGCCAGCGAGGTGGCCAGGATGGGCCTGGCGCGGCCGCTCCGAGGGACCCGGCGGGCGCCGGGCGCGGGAGGCCGGCGGGACGCGGAGGAGGTTCTCCCGCCGCCCCCGGCCCGCTGTCCCCGCCGCTCCGCGCGCCTCATTTCACACCTCGCCGCCCCCGGCCCCGTCTGTGCGGAGCCGGGAATACCCCCTGCCGCCCAGACCGCACCTGCTCCTTCCCTGCCACCCCCTCGCTTCCCAGCGGCCGCCGCCCCCCAGGGGCCCGGAAGAACCGCCGTGGAGCCCGGGCCCATCTTCGGCCCGGGTGCGCACAGCTGGCGGTGGCTGGAGGGGGCGCTCCGAGCCCGCGCGCACAGAGGGAAGGGCCAGGGGCCTGTAGCTGGGGCTCCGAAGCCTGGGCGGCGAGATGCTCCCACTGCCAGGGCGCTGGAGCAATGCGGACTTCGGGGCACCAGGCGTGGATTCCGGCCCGACGGAGGGGCAGTTGCTCGCGGGGAAGTCGGATGCGGCGAGGGCGGCAGAGGGGTCCGGAGGCTTGGGGGACGGGCCGGGGAGCCGTGTTGCGGGACCGAGAAAAAGAGTGTGGCTGGGAGGAGGCATAGCGGACTGCTGGGAGGGTCGGGGTCGGTTCTGGCGGTGTGGCCGGAGAGGACAGAGCCGGGCGCCGCGAAGCCGCGGGACTTTCGGGGCGTTGGGGCGGCCAGCCGGGGCCACGCCGGGGGAGACAACGAAATGGACGGATGGCATGAGGGTGGCGCCCCCGAGCTGAGGACCAGCCCAGGTCTGTCCTACCTCTTCAAGCGCAGGCCGCCACCGGCGCTGCCGCGGTCCCGGGGGCTCACCAGGCGAGTGGTCTCCGATCCCCCCGTGGCAGGAGAGGACTCCATGTCACCGCGGCCCCAACCGTCCAGGCCCCACCGTGGAAGGGAGAGGCGGGGCCGGCCCTGCACCAAGTCCGAGCGGCCAGCCGACCCCCGGACTCCCCGCAGGGCCGCGGGGCCACCAGAGTAGAGGGAACTGCAGCGACTGTGTCGCGGGGAGTCCGAACTGCAGATCCCGCGGCCTTTGGAGCCCCGCCCCGCGTGGGGCGAGCTCCCCAAGCCCCGCCTCCAGGCTCTCGGGTCTCTCCCCCACGCCTAAGCCCCGCCCCTAGAGCCCCGCCCCCGTAGCCAAAGCCCCATTTCCCAGTGCAGAGCCAGGTGTGGGCGACGGGAGCCCTCTGCGCCCCCGCAGGGTTCTAGAGAATGCCAAATTTCCATAGCCCCGCCCCCACCCAAGTCCCGCCCGCCGGTTCCAAGCCAAGCTCCTCAAGGCTTGGCACCCCCCCCCACAACCTTCCCCCAGGGAACACCTCCCCTTGCAAGCCTGCAGGCGGGGGTAGGGGGGGTGTCGTCCAGCCCCCCACAAGGAGGCAGAATCAAGTGTGGGTCCATTACCTAGCTCGAGAGAGCCAGAAAGAGTGTGGGGTGAGCAGTGACACATCCGGGAGAACTCCAGGGACTCCGGCCAGAAACCCCTCTGTGGAGGATGTGGGGTCGGAATTTGCATGCGGAATCTGCTGCCAAGCACTGTGCCGCTCATTATCATTTATTTTTATAGAGACTTCGGGTGACAAAAGCTTCCTGTTCTCCAATTCATTACTATCCCTATTTTTCGTATGAGTAAACTGAGTTCCAGAGGAAGAAGCATCTAGGGTCACGTAGCCGGTGAATAAAACGCTGGGACTGGAACCCCATCCTCTTCCCCTCTCCAGTTCAGGGCACCGCACTGGCGACTGAAGAGAGCGCGCGCCGCAGTCTTGCCACTCACAGGCCGGGGCAACGGGAGGAGGAAGGAGCGATGCCACATCTCTGGTCATAAGCCCACTGTTCTTGGAGGGAGGCTGCCGCTTGCCAGCACGTGACTCTTTACCTCCGAACCTCTAGCACCTGGCTGGGCCTTTACCTCATTTTGCCTCATTTTAACTAAAGCCCAGGGGAAGGAGTGACTGAGCCTCAGCCCCGGGTCAAACCTTCACATCCCCAATGCTCTCTGGCCCTCACACCTGCCGCCACTGTAGAATGAAATGGGGGTGGGGATTGCATTGTGCCCTCCAAGTTGGGACACTCTGAAGAGAAGGGTCTGGAAGAGGAGGGAGAGAAGTGAGCTTGGATAGGGAAGCGTGGAGGGTGGGAGCGGTTGGTGAGTCCAGCAGAGAAACCCATCCACGGGCACACTTCCTGAAGAACACACTGGGCATCCTTCATTTGGGGTTCTGGGGATAGACACCTCTCCCCAACGTTATTTACTCCCAAACATTGCAACTGCGTGTACACCTCCACCCCCCACCCCCCATCCGCGAACAAACACTAGGAGCACGTGCCAGATAGAGTGGTTGGAAGAGATGGGGTTAACCCGGGAGAGCTTCGCGGAGGAGGTGAGGCTTGAACGGATTAGGCAAGCTGGGCGGCGGGCTGGCTGCTCAGGCGGGGGAGAGTGAGGCCCTTGCCAAGGTTTGCGGGCGGCGTGCACGGAGCGTACTGCGCTGGGGAACGGTGCGGAACGGAAGAACCAAAGGGTCTGCGCGAGCCCCGGGTGCCGCGTCTCCACCCACGCGGCTCCCGGGGCCAGCGCCAGCCTTTATTCGGCACCCTCCCTCTACTCCCGGCAGAAGGCTCAGCCCAAAGCCCACGCGAGGCGAGGGGCGAGGGAGTGAGGGTGGGGGTCCTTTCTTCCTCCAATTTCCCCTAGAGGAGTGGGACCTCAGCTCCTTGCTCGGGTCGCAGGGATGCAGACAGAGGTAGCGAGAGGGGAAGCCACCGCCAAGGTCACCTTGTAGGTCCTTGCTAGAGCGGGGTGGAACTCATGCCTGGTCCGCCTAGGTCAGAGCCCAGCAAGTCCCGCTAGGCGCCGTCGGTTTTCGAAGCTTGGCACTGGGCCTGGGGCTTCCCCAATTCTGAGAGTCCTGGAGCTGGGGAGCCCTCCAGGGCTGGGATGTTGTAGCCTCGCGGGAAGCGGCCGGGGCAGGCGAGCTCGAGGATGGGGAGAAACCGCGGAGCTCTGTGCGGGGAAGGGGTTTCTAAGCACGCCTTAGCCGATGGCGACATTAGGGGACTTGACAACAATGGCTCCCTCCGGGATTTCCCTTCCTGGGCAGCCAGTCCACAGTGCGCAGACAGCAGCCCCGGGTTCCCGGGAGGGGGCGCAGACGCCGGCACGAGTCCGCCCGCCCCTGGGCGGGGAGCGAGCAGGCGGGAGGGGAATGAAGTCTGGGAGCAGATGGATTACAAGGCTGTCCTCTGCCGCGGCTCCCTCCGTGTCGCGCCTTGGAACGTGCTGCCTCCAGAAGCCGAGGGCACCAGCGGGGAGAATACCAACAGTCGCCTGTGCTTGGAAATTTATGCAAGGAAAGCCTGGCAGCCAAACAGACCTCTTGCACCTGTTTCTCAAAGAGCCATCAAGTGGCCCTATGAAAATCTTTGCCAAGGGTCCTCTTGAAAGCCAGGTCTGAGGAAGGCATCCAGCACCTGGTTAGGAGCTAGGAAAATGAGGCAGGAGTTAGAAGGAAGGCTGAGAGCTAGTTGTAGGGAACTGAAATCTTGTAAGAACTATTCATTCAACATTTACTGAACATTTATTTCCTGCCATGCACTTTGCTAGGGTAACTGGGAATTTCTGGTGAGCAAGATACATGCATTTCCTCCCCCTTCCTGGCTTTAACTTGATTGCAAGAGATTTCTATTTTGCAGGCTTTGGTTGCTGATTTACCCACATGCTCTAAATGTCTGTCCTGTCCTGCCTCGGGTATTAATTTTCCCTAAGGAGTTTCCTTAGGCCATGTTAAATCCCAAAGGGATGAGGGAAAGAGGAGTCCCTGGAAATTCTCAGGAGGATAGGTCAGTGCTGGAACAGATGGTGGCAGAGCAGGTCAGAAGGGGGCTTCAGGGAGCCCAGGCTGGACCAGTTCATTTTGGGAGAGAAGGAGAGAGCCAAGTCCAGCCTTGAACTCAGGATTTAGGCTGGGCTAGGGATCTCAGACAAGATTTGGAAGCCAAGCATGCAGATAACGGATTAACACTGGAAAGGTCCAAGCCAGGCTGAAGGGTAAGGGGACAGATAACAAGGGGTCCAGTATCTACTCCATTCCCTGCTCAGGTGTTCCTCCAGGAAGTCTTTCTAACTCCCCTGCTATGTGCCCTTTTCCGGTGCTCTCAAGGCCCTCTGTGCTTATGTGTGGTTGGCACTCAGCACGCTGAAACAAAATGGCTTGCTTCTACCTTTCTCATCACGGTGTCCCTAGGGCCCCTGGTGGCTGACATATAGTCCTCGTTAAAGCCACCCCAGAAAAAAAGGGGCCGGTTGTCTGAGTGGAAGCAAGATGGAGAAAGCAGGATTTTAGTTGGAGATAGAGAGGATGAGGGAGGGATGGAGCTGAAATATCACCTCCTCCGGGAAGCCTTCCCTGATCCCCAGACTAAGTTATTTCTCATGTTATACATTCTCGCTGCACGCTTCTTTTTCTTCCTCAGCATTTATCACACTGTAATTACATCATTATTTGGGAGTTACTTGTTTCTTCACTTGGCTTCCAGGATACCATAATCTGGTTTTCCTCCTACTTCACTGACTGCTTATTCTCAGTCTCCTTTGCTGGTTCTTCCTCATCTTCTCAACCACTGAATACTGGAATGGTCCAGGACTTAGTCACCCTTTCTACACTCACTCCCTGGAGATATCAATCCAATCTCAAGGCTTAAAATACTGTCTAGAAACTGCAGAAAGCAATGGTTGTTGCAGCTTGATGGTGGGTAGATGGAGATCACTGTGCTATTCTATCTTTGTGTCTGAAATGTTTTATTTAAAAAAAAAACAAAAGGCAGGCTCCCTGCTGAACAGAGAGCCAGATGCAGGGCTCAATCCCAGGGCTCAATCCCAGGACCCTGAGATCATGACCTGAGCCAAAGGCAGAGGCATAACCCACTGAGCCACCCAGGCACCCCATATAGCAATGTTTAAGACACCTGTTGTGTAAGTGAATGGATTAGCAAAAATGACAGTTCACAAGGGGAACTGGTATAAGAGCAATGGGATAGAGGTGAGAAAGAACAGGAATATTTGGGGCGGCGGGAGACCAGTCTATCATGGAAGGGTTACCTTAGGGCAACACCAGACAATGCACTTGGAAAGCTAAACTGGTATCAAGTTGTAGAGTTTATCGCCAGGCTTATTTTTTTCTAAGATATTACTTATTTATTTGTCAGAGAGAGCAAGCACAAGCAGGGGGAGAAGCAGGCAGAGGGAGAAGCAGGCTCCCTGCTGAGCAAGAAGCCCGATGCTGGACTCCATCCCAGGACCCCGGGATCATGACGTGACCCGAAGGCAGACGCTTAACTGACTGAGCCACCCAGGCGCCCCTATTGCCAGATTTATTTTTTTTTAAAGATTTTTATTTATTTGACAGAGAGAGATCACAAGTAGAGAGAGAGAGAGGAGGAAGCAGGCTCACTGCCTAGCAGAGAGCCCAATGTGGGACTCGATCCCAGGACCTGAGATCATGACCTGAGCTGAAGACAGAGGCTTAACCCACTGAGCCACCCAGGCGCCCCTATTGCCAGACTTAAAAGGTTGTTTTACATCCTCTAGGCAAAGGAGTGGTAATGACAGAAGCATTGCTTTACAAACACTGATCTGGTAGCCATATCCAGCATGAGACTGAGACTGGCGGTAGGGAGAACAGTCAGGAGGCTAGAACAACAGTCGTGTGATATGGAAATCCTTTAACTGGGATGTTTTGTGGCTGTGGGAGCTGAAAAAAAAAGGACACATGAAAGAGCAATTTAAAAAAAAAAATTAGTAAGACTTTTTGGGCTGAATTGGGGGAAAATAGTGAATCCACAGACAAGTGTTG